TGTGTGAGTTGCATTAATTAAATAATAGTTCAACGTACTGAACATGATGGTCCTTGTCTCTTATTAATTATCACCAACCACAACCTGCCAATCATCACGATAAGCAAGCAACAGGAAGTTAAGTGTGGAATTTTGATTAGACGCTGATTATTGGTGTGTGTGTGTGTGTACTGTAGGTGATGATCAGGTGTCTTTATCTGACGGTGTACACATATTGCCTTCAGTTTAGTATTTCCAATATTGGTACTATGAAGCTGTGATTCTGTATTTAAGATGAATCTCCACTCTGTGTTGAATTTAATGCTTCGAGGTTTTCTTTAGAAATGAAAACACTTAAGAAAATGAAAATGGAGTGTTTTAGGACCTATACTTAGAGAAGGAGCTCATTAATGCTTCAAAATGCAGTTGAAGTGGAGAAAACACTCAACATACCTTTTTATAGTCACCACCCTTGGCATAATGAAACACTCTGGGGCAAATTCACTTTTGCGTACGTTATTACAGTGCTAAAACTTGTGTTGCACTGTACAATTTTTGACCCAATTTTATAGTCTGCTGTAAATCATCAATCATTAGCCACTTTTCCACCATCAGGCCAAACCGTTCTTGTTGCTTAACCATTCCATTCCATGCCGGAGACATAACTGGAACCGTTCCTTGCCGTTCTTAGAACTGTTTGGCCCGATGGTGGAAAAGCTTCTTTTGATTGATAATTGCAATGAAGTTCCTATGGTGTCAAAGTTCCTATGACACCTGTCTATTAAAGAACCAGTAAAAGAACCGCAATGATCTTAATGTGTGTATGACTATGAAAGTTGGAGAGTGTAAGAGAGATGTTCTGAGATCAATGCTAGCTTGTCTATATGATATGCCACATAAATATCTTGCTTTGGTTTATGTGGTACACTTACAGTTTCATGTGTCACCTAAGAATCCAAATGACTGACCAACCAACCAATGCTGTTAAACATGACCAAATACTTATATTAGTGACTTATGTTGCATAGTCTAACATAAAACATTTATCAGTCCTAGCATTCTCTGAGAATGGAACCCATGACCCTGGTGTTGATAGAATCATACTCTACTGTTTGAGCTACAGGAAATGACTGTCTGAGTGACTGCCATTTTATTCCACATCTATTGGGAAAGTTGCAAAGTTTGCCAAATATGAGGCAAATTAAATTTGTCTACACTGAAAAAAAAAGACTTTGCAACAATTTTCACTCAGAAATTGCAAATAATTGCAAATAATTACAAAGAAATGGCAAGTAACACACTGAATTAAATTTTCTTGTAAAACATACTCCAATAATTGTTTAATTAACAACTTTAAAAATCTGCTTCTCATCCGATAGTGTCAGTGCAGTCAAAAAAATAATAAAACTGAATATTAATAGTCATTTAAACAACATAGAGACAGAAAAAGACTTAAACAGGCACTAAATATGCTAGTATCGTATTACGCCTTGAGTATTTAAATGAAGTCTTTTTCATTATTTTCAGCACAAACACACCTTATTATAAATTAGACATATGGATTGAGCATTGTTCACACAGTTAGCACTGTGCTATTAATGTGTGCAGTATTCATATGTGATAAATATCACACAATCATCATATATTCCTGTAGCTTGAACAGTAATTCCTAGGTCATGGGTTTAATTCCTAGAGAATGCATGAACTGAATAAAGTGTATACCTTGCATGCAGTGTACGCTGCTTTGGATAAAAGCGTCAAATGCATAAATGTAAAACTAGGCATGCACTTTCTGCATGCTGAAGAGCCAGTTTAGGTGGCTGTGGTGAAGTACACCAGATCATGCTGCATCCTACAAAACCTAGCACTTAGAAATGACCTGAAAGATGGCAAATTTTGGTGTGCAAATTATTTTCAGCACAGGTGTTTTGGTCATGCTTGCGGTGTTACCCAATTTGCATAAATCATGTAGTGAATTGGGTGTTAAAACAAGACAGACAGCATCGGTAAATAAGCAATGCTATCAGTTCAGTCTTAGTTATTTCCCTATTTTTTCTCTAGCTTACTTTCTGTCCTTTCTTTCTTTACCTCTTCTCTGGCTCCCTTCTTCCTTAGTCTTTTATAATAATAAAGAGTATGTGCGGGAGAAGCAGCGGGCAAATGCAATAAAACACATAGCTGACAAAATCTTAACTGAGCTGCTGGATTCAGCTCAAGAACACACACACAAAAATCTAATAAGAGCCCAGCGAAGTGAAGGAAGGGGGAATGGAGAGGGAATGGGATGGAGGGCACAGATAAATTTACCAGATGGAGGAGAGGCAGAATGAGAGATGGAGAGCGGGAATGCAAGAGTGAGTTTAGTTAAGAAGAGAGCAGGAGTTTAAAAGCAAGAGGCCAGAGAAAGGTGAAGAGTGGTAAAAAGAACTCAACTGTATTTCCTCAGTCCTCGTCGGACGAGTTTGAATCTCAGCTCATGAATAATATAAGCTAAAGATTGATCAGTCAAGCTGACACTGAATTAAAGAATCGCGAGAAACATGAGGAGAGGAAAAGTGTTGAAATTGCTTCACTGTGAAAGATTAAATATAAAAGGCACTTATGATCTACTTTCTAATTCATAACATTTGCTTCTGAGTTTGTGCAGTTGTGCTTATATACTTGAATGTACGGAATGTACAGTGGGTATAGAAAAGAATCACCCCCCTTTAAAATACCCCCTCCTAAAAATGACTTGTAAACTCAATCAGGTGTAGCTGATCACCTTCTCAATGGCACACAAAGCCATTTGACTTTCAACCGTGATCAGCTGTGGTCATTTTGATTAGCTCAGCATGAAAAGAGCTTTCCTGGAGCATTTCAGTCCTTGGTAGTGCAACTGAAGCAAACAATCAACTATGGGCACCCATCAAAAGATTTCTGGGATAAAGTTGTGGACGGGCACAAGTCAGGAGATTAATACAAAAACATTTCAAAGGCTTTATCAATCCCTAGAAACACAGTGAAGTCTATTATTA